TGAGGTCTCCGCACGGTCTCTGCGGAGCGTTTTGGAGGATGGTTTTGGGACCAAGCGTTTTGACGGGGGGTTAGTTCTTTTGGTATATTAATGTATTGTAGATCATTGGGGTAGAAGTAAACAAGAGCGATCATATAGTAATACCAATCACAGGTGCTAGTAGTAGCAGTGGTAATGGACTCTGATAGACCTCATTGATTCAGCCCCTGGTCCTTGTGGCAATGAGCCCTCAGTCATTTTTGCTGTTCCAGGTGATGGAGAGACTTCTTTTGATCCCAAGAATACTCCACCAACGACTCGAAGAGGAAGCAGCCTGGAACCCCAAACAACCAGAAACAACTGGATGTTCCAGTATGGCAATTGAGATCCTTTACATAGCAAGTGGTTGCTTGTGGAAACATCCATTAATTTCGCTGGTTGTTTGGGTTTCCAGGAAGATCAGGAAGCCTGAAAAACCACCATCCTCCTCCGACCACCTCCATCCTCCTGCGACCATCCTTCCTCCATCAAAATCCACCCTTTCCGCCCCACATCTCGCCTTCTGACGTCGTCCGAATGACGAAGCCGTGTCAAGCTGCTGCGAAGCTGCTCCCACAGTGAGGCGCGAGCGGTCAAGCTGCTGCTGAAGAGCCGCATGAAGGACGCGATCGGAACCTTTTCAAATCGTCGCTACGCCCGTCATGCGCCCCAAATGAGTTTGCTGGCGCGCGAGGCGCAGACAGGGCTTGGAAAAAAAGAGGAAGTGGAGCTAGCAACTGGCGCCACAAAGCTTGAGCTTAAGATAATTCGATATGCCAGAACTGATGTCATACGTAGAGTGCTTGTCCGCTTTTTTTTTGCAGAGGGGAGTCACTTGGTGGCCGTTTCAGAATGTGTCATACACCTTCGGGTGCTGAAGCATCGCAGATCTCCTGGCGCTGCAGTCGAATGATTTTCATAAGGCATCTCCCTCGGACGACGAGAATGATGTGTTTCATTCAACGTGAGAGCCAGGCTATGCCAACACAGAAACAGTTGGATGACCTGAAGAATTTACAGCTGACCCGAACATACCCGAATAGGCCCTGCCCAGGCGTATTTGGATCATGACACCTCACTCCCTCATGAGTGTGGGTCAAAACCTCCCCAACCAATCGATGGAACGTTGACATCCCTCAAAAAGAGGCATTGTTCATGATTCGGTGGTCAACCAGGGTCTCCCCTGTTTTAACCCACCCGCGTAATGACACCTTGTAAGCCATTAAGCCGTTGCCCCACGTTTGCTTTGCTTCCAAAGAGCCAACTTTCGGAGGACGACGGAGCGGCCATTGCGAATGAGATTGAGATCCTTACGAAGTGGGGTGGCTTAGAGGGTTAGCTACCACTTGGTGTGTATTTTAAGAGATGGAGACCTCTCAAAGACCGCCTGGAAGAAACATCGACCAACGCCCACATGCTTCTCCGTCTTTTCAGATGCTTGCTCAGACCTGGAAGGGTTTTCTTCAGATGCGGCAGGTCAGCACCCAAGGCCCAAAAGGCCCAAGGAGCCGGCAGAGCGCACTATGCCACCTATTGGTATTCCTTCTTCTATCACCGCCCAGTGATAGAACCTGCAGGGCTAGCGAACCTCCGACACAGTGCCACCCTCGAAGATTTTGTTGTCCTCACAGGCACCGCCGCAAACGCATTTATTTTCATCTGAGGGATCAACTGCCCAGAAGGCGCCCGGAAGGCGACTGGCGACCGAACGGGAGCCCAAGGAAGAGCGAAGAATACATGGAAAAAGAGAAGGCACGTGCTGGGCGAGATGCTCGACATCTCAGGGGGCTTTTGGTTCTTCATCCGTGTCCTTTGGACCCATTCTGGCTTGGTAAGAGAGGTGTAAGAGTATAGCAAGGCAGTAGAGCTCACTTTGACTCCGGCGTTTGGGTCTCAGAGGGGACTGCCAGTCACGCTAGTGCCGGCCAGTTCGGTGACTCCAAGTTCTGTCGGTGGAGATGCTGGAACCTTGGAAAGCCGTGCGAAGAAAGAGCCGTGCGAAGGCAACTGTGATCCGGGCAACCGGTGATCCGAGCATTGCGGGACGCACTTCAAGCAGACTTCCGCGGCTGGCACGGAGGGGACGGCCCGACGCGAAGCGGAGGCCCCCCTCCCGAGCGCACCCCACCGGACCAGCTCTCTCGGTCGTACGCGTGCGCCGGTCGGACGCGCGTGCGTGGCCAAGGCTGGACCATCCCAACGTGGTGAAATTCTACGAGTGCCTCGGGCGAAAACCGAGCGCGGCACGGCGGTTCACGGCACAGAGACGACCAAAGCGTGAGGCTTTACACGGGGAACCCGAGGCATTTTCGGGTGGAGCCAGCTTTTTCGGGCGAAGTGAAAACCACCTGCCATGGGTCGTGAAAACGTAACAGGTGGTCCACATCAACCATCAGGAGTCTCCAAGTCATTGCAGACCCGCAGGACCCCCCCCAGTTTTCAGTCTTCGCCCGAACTCGTCGAAGCGTGGATCAGGTTCTTTGAGGATCGTCGAAGCGTGCTCTGTGTGGTGCGGGCAGCCCAGCGGGCACCTGCTGCGTATGGATTGAAGGGGGTTCCCAGCAACTTCGTCATTTCGGATGGGTTTCCTTCTGAAGCTTCTTGCCATGTGGCGAAGGAAGGTCTTGTTGTCTAATGTTCCAGGGTTGAGGCTTGTTGTGGGGCTACATGGTTGCATTCCACCTGTTTTAGTTGTAAATCATCCTAGCTGCATCACAACATCTGAACTCTGAACCGGAGATGAAAAGGAGTGCTCAGAGCACTCCGGACGGTTGTCATCATCTACAACGGATGTGTCCAGCGACCACGTTGCATATGGACTACGCAAGTCTCCGTTTGCTCGATCTAAGATTGAACCCCGGACTTTCAAATAAACCTCTTCCCCTAAAACTTCATGACTTCACGTCAAGACTCATCTCTGGAGCTGCTGCCGGGTGCTGGCACCAGGTCTTTCTTTTGGGTCTCTATGTGAAATAGATCCTTGGAGGTTCTTGGGGGTGTCGAACCTCCCCTGCCATGGGTGCTGGTAGAATTGGATCTTTTTCGCGACGTTAATCACTACACGGTAGACTACACAGTAGACTACACACAGGTTGGGGAGCCGAACACGACTAGGTTGAGCTGTGCCGCTCCGGAGACTTCTGCTCCTCCCTGGAGGGGAAAAGCAAGGCGAGGATTGGAAGGAGAAGAGATGGACAAGATCAGATGCTTCGCAACCATCCATCATCTTCGCAAAGCTACCAGGCTACCCGAGATGACCAATATGAAAGAATCCATCAGTGGGTGGAGTCTGAAAATTACAGCTGGCATCACTGACGATCCACTGAGTATGCATTCTTTGCCTTCGAAACAGATGACCCGTGGTAACCCATGGTAGCAAGTAGAAGGAAGGCTCACTATCTATTCGAATTCTGTTTTTTGGGACCTTCACCTTTGGCACATGTGGTTTTAAAGCCTCATGGTACAGGTGGTCTGCCGGCTTTTCGTCTTTGACCAGTCAACTGACACCAATATCCGGACGCCATCGATCGGATCAGTCGGTGATGACACGTGTACAATCGGATCAGTCGGTTTGGCCGAGTTTGGCCTTTTTGCGGGACCATTTGCATGAACACGTCAACAGAGAGCAAACAACTCGCCATTTTGAATGGATTTGCATGCATGAGGTAAGGTTCTTCCCACAAATCATGTGCAACTCGTCAGTTTATAAGGTTCTTGACATTATTCAGAATTAGGCCTATGTCCGAAAGCGAATTTCCAAGGCTTTTTTGGCCAGCGATTTCCATGTTCAACATGTTCAACGGACCTTCAGTGGAACTGGTGGGTGAGACCTCATCAGATCACTGAAAGAAAAGCGTGGAGTTCACCACCTGTTTGTAGAGAAAAATGGTCCAAGGGGTCCCATCCTTCCACTTCGATGAGTTCCAGTGTACCTCATCAGATCTGTTGGGCCCCGAAGCTGCGAGTGCTGCGGGTTCAGGATACGGTGCGAGTCCTGCCTGAAGCTGAGTGGGGCGACGGTTCTTCTTTTTTCTGCGTGTTCTTCGATCCTAAAGCCTAAATTGAGCCGGGAAGGGACCCACAACCTGAAAATGCACCTGCAAGGAAGACGAGCTTCCTTTACAAACCAGTGGTTTTCAGGTTCCATCTTGGTCTTCCAGGGCGTAAATCATCTCTAAATCCGTTCACTCAAATGTGGAGCACCGGACCATCATGTACCAACCAGGTGGCCAATTTGCATCCCTAAGGGTCCGACGGTCCCAAAACTGACAAGTCCTGACAACCTCATTGAGTCGTCGTCGTGTATACTATGATCAAGCCCGGTATAGCTCAGGAGTCATTTGGAAACGAACAACAAAAGGACACAAACGTGTAAGCTCTAGAGACTCTTGAAACGAACAAAACGAACAACAAGAGATTCCAGCGACTCTTGAGCTCTTTGGTTCGCCATTCCAAGCGGAGTGACCGCGACCTTGACCGACCGAAGGTTCCGGGACGTGATGCTGGGCTTGGCCTACTTGCACAGCTTCGGCATCGCCCACCGAGATTTGAAGCCTTCGAACTGCGCGCCGTGGAGGAGAGACAGACACGACCGTCGTAGACGGTCTAGTGCCGTCACCAAGCACCAGCTCAGACGGAAGAGGGACGGACCCAGAATTGGAGGATGAGCATGAGATCTATTTATATATGCCTAGGGGTGTCCCCTCAAAATGTATATATTTTGGGGAATGGTCTGCAACTTAACCATCATCATCCACTAAAACCTGAAACACAACAGGTGCTGCTCGAAGGCTCATATAGGTGCTGCACCAGCTACATGCGATCCGATTTCCGATAGGCAGAGTTGGATGGGTCGGTGGGCTTCTTCTCGATGACGATCATGTTGAGTGTTGATGAATCAAGCCTCTTCATACAGAGATGTGGTTCTTGTTCATTCATCAACCAGTCAACTTGAGAATCCAAGAAGGAGTTCTTTTTCCTGAATGATACACACCAACTTTTTTTGTGTGGAGAAACCTCTTGTGTTTTTCAACGAGGTGTTGACCTTCAACGGCAAGCGGGACCTGGCAAAGATCATCGACTTTGGCTTGGGTGCCATTCGCCGTCAGGAGGATGAGGCAGAGGAGTGGATGAGCGAGGCTGATGGGATCTGGGATAGGAGGGTGGAGAGGGGTCGGGTGAAGAAATGGGCAAAAGCTTTTGGGTTGGGAGAGAGATTTTGGGGATCTGAGGATTTTTTCTGGGCTTTGTGCAGTACAAGGAGTTCGGGATTTGTGGAAGAACATTAACAAAACAGTGCTTGGTCTTGTAAGGAGGGACCGAGCAGGCCTCCTGCCTTGCGCAAGGAGTCCTTTGACTGCGAATCAGTCTGGCGCACAAGGATGTTATTCTCAATGTTGCCGTTGCGAAGATGACAATCGGTATTTGGCAGGTGACACACTCTCGGCGCCCCTGCTGACTATATAACCTGTGGTCGGGTCTGAACCTGTTCTTCTTGCTGAGCATTTTTTGGGTTCTTGTTTCAGAGCCCTTCCTGTCGAGTTGCCCAACAGGGACCTACAAGTGGTGCAATCAAGGATCTTGTTAGCTTTTTGGCAAAGCAGCTGGTTCCAATGCATTCTTACAATGAAAAACATCCGATGAACATATACCCTCTGACTCACGAACATGGAAGTGGATGGCACCACCTGTTTGGTTTTCTGAACACTGTCTTCGCAGTGGCCATGCGGCCATGCCATCCACTTCCATGTAATGTGTTCGTCCGAAAGTGTAACATTCTTTACCATTCCCCCCAACAGGTCTAGTCTCACCCAGGTCCAAACTTGGTCCTGAAAACCTTGTGTTCGTAGTGTTTCTATGATCAACTCCAGTGATTTCTGAGGTACACTCCGACTCACTCACATAGCGCAAAATCCTCTTCGCAAAGGCAAGATGTTCACTTCCATGTTAGTGAGTGACCTACAATTTAAGGATCAGGTCAACACACGGAGGAACAGGAACACAGGAAACACACAGTCTCCCTTAATTCAACAGACACAGGGCAAGAGAGTAGGGTTTGGTGCTTCTTTTCCTTCGCCGGTTCCCACGGAGGTTCTGGGCACCTTGGCCTTCGTGGCACCTGAGGCCGCTCGTTGGCCCGCTGGCCCGGGATCTGTGTTGGGTCTCCAGGCGGCGGAGATCCCCGGTGTAGGCATCGGCGGCATCGGTTTGAAGCCGGGGAGACCAAACGGAAGTGCCATGTCCTCATGTCTTCGCACGCTCGAAGAGCTGAGCAGCTGATGAACTCCATGGAAACATCTTCGCTCGAAGAACTGGCCGAACTCGTCGACCGGGCCGTGAACGGAGCCGTGAAGGGATTTTTTCTTTCCGTGTGTTTCGAATTTGAAACGGCCAGTTTACAGGTGGTACCAAGAGAGGTTGAAAAAGTGTTGGATGACCTGAACTAGGACCCTGTGGTAGTACATATGGGATGGGCGAAAAATAGGGCTGTTCAACCTCCCTAGGTAGGTCCCCAGTGTTTTCTCACCTCCTGTGTCCTTTGAGGCCTTTCTAGTGGACTGGCGTCCACTGGCACCTCCCAACGAACGGATTCTTCCGTTCGACCAACGAATGGATTTCGTGTTGTGATTTCTTCCTAGAGGCCTATAGAGGTCTTCAAGTATACCTATTCCAAGACCGTCCACCCGCCCCGTCAGACTTCCGTTCGACCATCAAACAAAGGGTTGACCCGGTTTGTGGTGGACAACTCGTCATAAAAGCATGGTTGTTTGGGATTTCAGCCTATTCAACTAATGGTGGGCCAGGAATCCGCACCTAGAACATCCTGGGCCTTTCTTCCGATCATAGAATCATACTCCCGTTTTGTTTGTAACAAGTGCATCGCTACTAGTAACAAGTGCATTACTACTAGTAACAAGAAGCTACTAGTGGCGATGCACCTATTACTAATAGTGATGCACCTGTTCCTAGTAGCAATGCACTTGTTACTAATAGGTTTCTCCGGCTTCTGGATTCCAGGTGGTCGAGCAGAGCTACAATGAGAAATGCGACTGCTGGTCGTGGGCCCCCAGTGAGATGGAACGATTCATGGTGGATCTGGAAAAGGACATGCCCTTGTTGTTACTAGTAGCTTCTTGTTACTAGAGCACTTGCAACTAGTAGAAATGCACTTGTTCCTAGCAATGCCCTTTGTTACTAGTAGCTTCTTGCTACTAGTAGTAATGCCCTTGTTACTAGGAGAGAGGACGGATGACGATCCATGACCATCCATGACTATCCATGACCATCCATGACCATCCATTTGGCCAATAAGGACATGTGTTGTGCTTCGGACTGGTTCTACTAGAAGCGCCAACGCATGCAACGCCCCTCCCCCCCACACGTTTTTAAGAGCCGTGGACAGCCGGTTTGGAAGCCTTTCCTCGGCTTGTCGTAAGTGTCCATGTGCAAAAGCTCCATGCGAACGCTTAAGGTTCGTGTCAGAGAATCCATGCACAAGACACAAGTCAAATCATAGGGTTCCTCGGTGTATGATCTACCGGCAGCTTTGTAAGTCTGGTGTGGCAAACTCCACTTCGCGCACGCTTATTTTTATGTTTGTCTTTCCGATGAACACGCCACTGACATCATCAACCCCCACTTCAGAAGTTGGAAAACCGGTGGCCTTCTTGGCGGAAACCGGTCGGTTCCCTCGTCTTCGTCGCCCTTCTCGAGCCTCGCGAAGTGAAGGTCCTTTGGCATCATGGTCTTCATGCAGCTCACAGAGGCCGCGTCTGGAGTTGGGGATGTGAAAGGGATGAGCATGGAGTTGTTGCGCGCCAAAAAACCGCTTCCAGAGAACGGTAGGTGTTGACAAAGAGGGGACTGGAAAGAAAAGACACACAGTGGCAGGAGAGCCTTATGTATGGAATTCATGGGATGTTTTTGGAAGAAGTTGCTGGTGCTTCTGGGTGGAGGCTGCGATTCCACTGGCATCGCAGGTCCACCCCATCGAGCCGTGTCGCTCAGGGCCAGCACCCGTACGACCTTCAGAGTCGGGCCTCGACCTTCAACTTGAGCAACCGCCAACTGTTTGCGCCTCAAGTGACACCGAAGGGACCGCGACAGGGCAGGGCAAGCTGTTGAAGGAACCCAAACTGCGGGATGCCCGGAGCTGGAGTAAGATCGATGATCACTTGCTGTGGGGTTCGAGAACATCCTGTTAACGGAAAAAGCCTCAGACTGGTTTATGGTTTATAAGAGTTTCATGGTTTATAAGAGTTTCATGGGAATTCATCGGATTTCGCCGATTTCGATGCTCGTGTGGAGATCCAATCCTTGTCTTCCGAGTACCACGATCCACTTCACAGATCCCTAGGCTGGCGCGCTTGCGTTTGGAAGACCCCGTCCTCGAGGAGGGGAGAAACTCGTGGGGCTGAAACGTGCATCCAACTGCAAAAGAGGTGTGTTGGTGGAGGTTGTGCTGGCAGTGGGCTGTAGCTCACTTCTACCCGCTAAAAACCGTGGTGATGGAGGTGAATTGAATTTGGTGCTGCAACTCTGGATGACCGTGGCTGTGAACCATGGTCCCACTAGGCCATTATGGCGATCATGTTTGGGTAGGTTCTTTCTATTCCAGTACTCCGACGCTGGAACTTATTTTGAATACGCCCAACAAAGATCCAAAAGCAATGCCCAAGAACAATGCGGTCTGCCTGCTTGGGCTTCTGAAGGTTGGCATCAGCTTGATCATTTGCAGCTCTCCACACCTCCCGAAAGTCATACGCTCTCCGCTCATGCCCTTTTCTGCACCAGGAGACCCGTGAAAAAACCAGCGGCGCCGACTGCGGTGTCCAACCAAACAAATGGGGTGTTCCGTCCATCATCAATGTCTGATGATTGTGGGACTCTTGGGACCCTTTCAACCCAAACCGACCAGAAAAACCGACCCTTCGACCTAAACCGACCCTTCGACCGACCCTTCGACCGACCCAAACCGACCGACCCTTCGACCCTTCAGGATCTCTCAGATGCCAAGGGTCGAGATCTGGTGCCTCGACGATCGCTCGAGCGAATCCGCGGACGGCGGACGAACGAGGAACTCGCAACGAGGAACTCGCGCGTGGCGAGCAACGAGTTCGTGGCGATCGGCCTCAGGGTCGTTTCAACCTCACCATGTGGATATGAGTCAAGATCCTGGAGCCCGACTGAAGCTGGTAGATTGACCGTTGGTCTGGTGGTCGATTCGAAAAAGGGTCACCCGGTACCATGACCCAGCATGACCCAGCGAGACCAGATCCACCATGCGTTTGACCAGATCGACACCAGGTATGGTCTGGAGCCAGTTTCCCATATCGACTTCGGCCAAAGAACTCCTAAAAGCCCACCTGGTGGGGAGACGTCTTGGGCGTTCTCTGGGTGGACAAACGATTGCTAAGCAGTTTGCTGGTTTTCTGGACCATCTGTTTAACCCGATGTCGGTGATGGGTGGAAGGATTCAGTTGGTCGACCAGGGTGGAAAACTTGGCGTTGGCTTCAGAGTGTTTCAGATCGATCGCCGAGTTTTGCTGGGTTTTTGGGTGGGATTTCAGACCCTACAGTATCCCATCTGGTCTTTTGATGGCTTCATGGCTTTTTGGGCTTCTGGAAGCTCTTGACTCTTGACATTGAGTTTCTGCCTTCATTCATTTTGGGTTCTGCCTGTTGCTCTACCTCTGCGAACGCGTCCAGGTGGCCCTGCTTGACCATCCCCTTGGCCCGGCCACGCGGGCGTCGTCGGCCGCCTCCAGGTCTCAGGACTTCTGGTGCGTGACCCCGCCCAACGCCTCAGTGCGCAGGCCGTCCAACGCGCCGCCGCGCCCGTTCGGACTCCTTCCTCCGCGGTTGGCCGCGGTGTTCGGTGGTGGCGGCAATGCTTTGGGGTGGCGCTTGGGGGGCAAGGCTTCGCTTTTTGGGTTTGATCGCAGTTGGTAGGGCTGGTAGGGGGCCATGTTGAAGGTGAGGTGGTGGAGAGCTTGGACAGACGTCTCTGATGTAGTGGACATCAGTTGTGCGAAGGGCAGGTAGGTGGCAGTGGGTGTGCGAGAGTTTCAATCCCAGCGGTGATCTGCTTGGTGTTGGACAGATTTTCCAAGACTCTCCTGGATTCCTGTTTGTGGCCCCAGACGTCAAGTTCTACTTGGCATGCCCAAGACGGGGTCAGCAAGAGCTTATGCCAACGTGCTCGAGTCAGGTGCATTTTGCCATCGCAACCCATAAGGCCCACCAACCCATGGCGCTGCTTGGGGAACCTACACCTGCCGTCCGCAGCCAGGAAGCGCTGCAAAAGCCTTGGCTGCGGTCGGGTCGCACGGGGACAGCGGGGAAATCGGCACTCGCGTGCCGCGAGGGTTCCTGGCGGAAAGTTGAACTGAGTAGTGAGAGAGATCAATGGATGATCTGTGTTTGGGGGCAGGGGTCTCTGGTAGATGATACTCAACTTACTCAACTAGTTTTGCTCAACTGGTCCATCAAAGTTGCAGCAAAAGCCAGAAGTGGGTGGGTGGAAGCTTTAAAGATCGGTGAAAGCTGCTGGAAAGACTCTTGGAACCAGATGAGCTGCCGACTCTTTGTTCCCCCTGGCCGTTTGTCGGTGGCTAGCCAGGTGAAGATTCAGAGAGGGGCTCTTCAGTGGGCTCTTCATGCACCATGCTTTGGAGATTCTGGAACCATCCACCATCCCCCGGACGAGGTCTTGAATTTTTTCCATCCAATCACCACTCCGCTTCGGGCCGGTAGTGACTGAAAAAATGCCAAAGAACTGTGGAGGAACCATCACTACTCTTTTTCTTGGTGCATTGATGCCCCCCCTTCTAGGTTGGAGGCCATCGCTCTTGGGTTGCAGGCCATCGCTCTTAGGTTGGAGGCCAAGGCCATGGCTCTTATTTCTGCTGGATTTCTGGGATCCTCTCCACAGCACCATTTCCCGGCGAGTCTCGCACCGTCGTCTCCAGGCCCCGGAGCGTGCGCGAGAGCGAGACGCGGCGGATGTCGCGACAGGACGCCGTGGGGCGAGTCGCTCGATTCGGCGGATTCGGCGGGGAGCAAGGTGGAATGAGAAGGGTTGCTGAGACTGTTCATGAATCAAACGGAATGGTTTTTCAGATGTTTTCAGACTTAAGATGTTAAGCAAATGACATGGTTTTAATTAAGATGGGCCATACATCTCCATCTCTGGGCCATCCGGTCCAATTGACAGAGAATACTTCTGAGGCTGCTCTTCTTCGAGACACATCGAGGTGAGTGTTGCCACCTGATATGTGTATTGTTGCGCTCATGCAGTGAATTCTTTGCCTCCATTCATGGTTCACTGTCGGCATCTGATTTCATTCCAGGTTTTTTTTGCTGCTTGAAGTGGTCTTTTCGCTGGACTCGACCACGGGTTTTTCTCTCTACATCGTCTCCGCCCCCCGTGATAAGGGAATCCTCCCCATCAAGCGCACAACATCTGCGCACCAATTGGCCGCTCCAAGACAGCACTGCCGGAACCATTCCCAACCGGATGGCGCGGGGGCCAACGAAGAGACTCGCTTTCTCCGCTCGGCCCGGCTCGCCACGCGCTTTCTGCGCTGGTCGCGCATCACGGCGTGGGGGTCACCAGGATCGTAAGCTGCTCCGGCACAGCCTGGGCTCCTACAAGGACCTGGCCTTCTTTGACAAGGTGGGGATGGATCAAAAGCCGAACACCTGGAGTCCAACCAGGAAAAAGGTCACCGTAGGAAGGAGGGGGACTCCGGTCTCAGTATCAAAAAGGAAGATCCAGTGCACCTCCAACAGCGGCTGGTTGGAAGCTTGGAACCGGGGGTGGCGGGGGTCTCGACTACTGAATGGTGTCGGAAGGTTTGACCGGGAGTTGGGGACTTGGAGGACTCCTTGCCAAAAGAATAGGTCCATGCATCGTAACTCAAACTTGGAATACCTTCCAAGCATCCAAGTTCATTTTCACATGAGATGCCCTAGTGGCGCGCTTGCACGATCCACTCATCCAACAGTCATCCTAGGCAGCCTAGTCGATTCAAGCCCCCCTATTTTTGTAGGCCCTGCGTTTGCTAGCATCCGCTGCAGGCTGTCCTTCTGATGGCGTCTCATTTTCAGTGCCTCGGCGATGTCTGGTTTCCGGCACCGAGAGGTGGACTCCCGACCGTGGCCTCTGGTCACACCAGGATACCGCTGCATGGGGGACCAGGGCTCCAAGTTTTGACCAATCCCTTGGTGCCAAGCTAGAGCAAGAGCAAGAGTCTGCAAGGAAGGGGCATACAGTCCAAGCAAGACAATGGCCTGCTGCAAGTCAGATGATCCTCTTTGCAAGTCACTTAATCTCACTTCCACTTTCAATGGCCATGCTGGACCTTTCATTGACCATCCCAACTTCTTCCTCAACTGTGTTTAGTCCAGGGAGAATACTTGCCCAAAGACGATGAACAAGCACAATCCCCGATGACTAGTTTCATAGTTGTCCCAATCCCTAAATTCATCTAACTCCCTATCCATTCTAGTCTTCAAGCTTCCTCTTGTGAATGATGAGTTCTCCACCCATCATGGCTTCCTCTTGCGTGTGTCCGGAAAAAGACCATGCCCCTGCCGGCCCTCCTCCCGCCCCTCGTGCCGTTTCCCCACTTGACCCCGGTTTCACCACTCGACGTCCAAGGCAGCCAGAGGTGAGCCGCCGCGCCTCCGAAATCTTCATGTCCGGCCCCGGCGGACGTCGGACGTCGGGCGGGCCACGGTGGATGGCAACACAGTCAAGCACGGTGATCTTCTTTTGGGGCGTGTTGGGGGGGGGTACGGAGGGTATCCCAAGAGAGCCATAAGGCTTTTGACTTTTGGTTCTTGGGAGGGGAGATTGAGCAGTAGAAACGGACGTGATGGTCAATGATTGTCAACGCAGGCAGGATTCAGCAGGATTCAGGTTGAACTGTTGCAAACAGGGAGAGACATCGTTCCACGGACACTGAAACCCAGCTTTCCATGAGGTCCAGCTATAGCGCCCGACATGAGGTCCAACACCGGGAACCCCGCACGTTCCGACAGCTTCCTGGTTCCTGGCGGGTCCGGTGTCCCCCCGGTCCGGACCCGCGAGGTCCAAAGATCTGGATAACTCCGGATATTTAAACGAAGAGGAGCTGCAAGGCGCTTTGGCGATGAAGCGACGTTTTCGAACGTTCTCGGTTCGTCGGATGATAACCGGATGGAAGATCTGGATGATGGGGAGAGCTCGGAGAGCTCGGATGGAGATGGTCCCTTGTGTTCTTCTTTTGTTTTTTCAAGCTGGCTTTAAGCTCCAAGGTCTTCAACAACTGGAACTCCTCCCAGCATCAAGAGGATTGGAACGTGTCAACGGATGTCAACGGTACCTACCCAGTCAGTGGATAGCTTTTTTCAGTGAAACGTCTCTAGAGTTGGTATCCAGTGGTGGCGGAGCTGTGTGCGAAGAGGGGGAGAAAACCTCCCCATTGGTTTGGGACACATTTGGGTGGTGGTGCATGTCAGGTCGCTTGTTCATCGCATCATGTTTCAAGTGTTCCAATTTGAGGATCTTGGAAGGTGCAGGCAGATTGGACGAGATCAGAGGTTTTGTTGTGCATGAGTAGCAATGACATACCAAATATCCTGGGGACATTCCAGCATATCATCTACTGATTTGGAGTGAAACTTGGGGAGATGTTTGTGATATTTTGGGATGATATATGTTGATGTGTATTTCTGTTGGTATCCAAGGCGCACCAATAAACAGTTATTGATAGTTATTGTATGTCCATATCTCGACACCAGCTGAGACAGATTTGGTTGCCACCTCGGGCCCCACGTCCGCAGATGATCAGCCCGACATTGAAAATTGAACATGCAGAATTCGACATTCAAAACAACACAAATACCACGAGGCCCAAAGGGCTTGCATACCTCCTGAGACTTGGTTCATATGAGACGAAAGGTTCTTTCTGAACGCCTGTGAACGGAGAGTCTGGCGGGCCTTCCAAGCCTTGCGGGGTCGCCGTTGATTTTTGAGGAGCTCTAGAGGCCGTCGGCATGAAGCCGGTCCGAAGAACCCAGATGGGGGGGGGCGGGCGGGTCTAGGGGAAGCGAGGAACTCCTGGATTCTCCAACCCTTTGAGGGTCAAGGAAGGGTGGAAACACGGCCAAGGATGAAGCGAGGTTCCGCCTTCTTTGTGGGTGAAAGAAAAAGGGGAAGGAACACACAGTGGTTTGTCACTTTGAGCAGAACAGAACAGTTGGACGAGGGTGTCCATCTTCCTGCATGTGAACTTTCTATCTAAAGAAGAGTTCCAATCACAGACGTGCCATGTTGCAGTTTAGCTCCAAATCAAAAGGACTTGGGTATGAACCTCCCAATCCCCCCAGTGTGGTAGAAAAATACCAACATCCCCGCCCTCAGTAAGCCACCGCGGGAAAGCTGTTCCCCCAAGGTGAGCAAAAGACTGCTCTACCAAACGATTTGTGTGCACGATAGGTCTTCTTGACTGACAGTGACAACTTTCTCTACTCACTCCATCTTACTTCGATTCATCTCCCATTCTTCCATATATCTCCCATTACCATTTCATTCATCTCCCATTCTTTCATCATACATCAAAACAAGTGGTGTCTTCGTTCCGAAAAGATGGTCTGTATGTCTTTAAGTACCCCCGTTGATGTCGATGGAACAATAGCAGTAACACAACCCCCAAACTTGGACATTTGGATATAGCCTTTTTGACCACAGTAGTATAATAATGTACAATACTATAATACAGTAGTAGTACTATACAGACTATACAGACCTACATGTCCTTCTTCGCTGGAGAGAACTGGAGAGCTGGTGTTTCACGAAAGAAAAGCCAAGACGACTCGAAGCCCACAGACGACCGACGCGTTCAGGATGCCGAGCTCCAAGGCATCGGAGACCGGGCCGACGGCCACGGGAAACACCGACGACCGTGTCACGGTTGTAGCTTAGGTCGCGGTTAGGCTCCCCAAAGGAGACACGTATCGTTTTGTGTTTGTCTTTTTTCATCTTTTTTCCCACAAACGCGAAACGCGTTGTTTTGGTTTCTTCTAGAAGCAGATGGTGGAAGGTCTGGGCGTCTTCCTGCTAGAAGTGATGACATACCACCTCTCCAAGCAGATTGCAGTCACACTTTTGGTCGAAATGCACCCCTCGTCAATGTTGGCGGATGGGACTTGTCTAAGTGGCGGCTTTGGTCACGATCTTTTTCCATTCCCCGTACATAATACAAAAGAGGGAATGCAATGCAAGGATACTATGTACAAACGCTTCTGTGGCGGTGCGGGATTTGGTCCACCCAGACTTCCTTCATGGATCTAGAAGGATGTGCCTGCGTCGCGCCTTCCCGAGTGGAGAGCCTCCATGACATCCTGCCAGATGCTTGGCGAAGCCTAGACACCAGCGAGGATGGGCGCGTGAGCTACAGCGAGTGGTTGAGCTGGGCAGCCCAAACAGGAAGCGCAGGGAAGCCAGATGCTGGGTGGTGGAAATGAGGAGGCGGACATTTCTTGTTGAAACCCGCGCCGCAGCCTTTCAAGATGGGATGAGAGGAAAACGCATCCAAGTAGCTGGCTACGGTTGCAGATGGCCCCAGCCGCAGCCATTGCCTTTGCGTCAATGCCGCACCCAGAGCACCCGGGCGGGTGACCAGCGAGGTGCTACCATGCAGCCCGCAGAGTTGGAGTCCGAAACCTCCGTCAAGGCGGCTGAAAGAAGCGACCGCGCTCACCGCTCGCGGAGCGGTCAGGTGGGTGAATTCGATTCCAGGTTTCCCAGGGTGGACTATATTGAACATATATGAACTTCTTCGGAGTATTGTCAAGGTGTTGATTGGACGTTTTGGAACACGGGTGCCGGTCGTTGGTGGTCTGGTTCCATGTGGGTTCTTAAAGTGATGTCGCAAAGGATGTAAAGTGTAGGATTCTTCAGCCAGGAGTAAATAGTTGGGAGCTGGCCTCAGACCCGTTCACCCTCCCAAAGCAGCAAATGCATGAAAATGCGTGATTCAATACAAAACACCATATGGCCGCAGATGGACAGTTTTGGGGGCAGGCTTCTGGGTTTTGACCCATAGGCGCTCAGCAAGATATAGGTTTGACAATTATGTTTTCCAGTTGGCTATGCTAGTATATTTTGTGGTTTAACTAAACGTATTCCAAGTTCCTGTTAAAAGTTAAACATTACATTATAGACACCAACTGTGATGGAGAACACGCGGTACGCTCCCGGGAGCCGATTTGGATGCACGACAAAAATACAAAATCCATGAGTCGATTCATCTTGACGATTGTGGTGTGGTGTGCCCTGCATTCCTGAAAATGGGAGGGCCAACATCAGGTACGGCGAAAGAAGCAGCGGACTATAGTCACCTAGTCTTTGACATACAGATGAATGTGTCTCTTTTTTGTCTCATTTAAGAGCAGGGAGAACCTGTCTATAATTAGCAATGTGTTTCTTAGGATGGAAGCTCGTTTGGAAGCCTCTTCCCTCGGTTGGAACCAATTGCCCCATTTCTTCGACTGAGCGAGATGACGGCGGTTGGTGCGGGTGAGGACCTCTTCTCCTGGTTGGATTACGACGGGGACGGCCAGGCCGGGGGCCGGCATCCCGGGCCCACGGAGGTGGGATGAAGCCATTGAGGGCTTCCATGGAGGTCTTTGGGATTTGAAGAAAAGACAAGAAATTTCAAAGGGGTGAAAGAAGGAGCCAGTTTCTCCAAAGGATCCTCAGCTGTGAAACGCAGAGCAAGATAGTCTTTGAGTTGGACAATCCCCAAGACGGAAACACCTACTGTAAATCTAGGGTCTACCCAAACGCTCATGGGCCTTCATATGGAGAGGTCGGACCCTCATATGGAGGGGTCTGGGGTCACAAATCCCTAGGTCCTGAGGGACCAAGGGCTGTTTGGAGCGTCTGGGTAGTACAATCTTATAACAGGACTTTATTGTCACCTGATTGTGTACACACATCACATATATATATATAATACATAATACACATGCATACATATTTTTTTTATATTTTTTCACAGTATGGTTTTTTGTGCCCATTTGGATCTAAGCATCCTCAAAAGGACAAAAGCTGTCTTTTCTTGAGCCAAAGCGCCAAGTTGGTATGTCTGTTGAAAGCTTATGGGAGGGCACGTAGCCACACTCCCCCTAATGGCGTTGCCATTACATTTGGTGACTTCCAGGCAGGTTTTTTCGTCCGCCTTCCGTCACAAGTTCAAAACTATCATCCGACTCAGCTTCAGGTTCACTTTCATGTCCGGGTTGAAGTAGTGCGGGCGTTTCGATGCCCATCCACACCGGCAGCTGGTCAGCTTCAGGCGGTAGGTGGTCCTGAGACCCATGTGCTCGATCTCTTGCCTCCTGACCAGGATCTAAATCAACCTCGCCTCGTCGGCCACACCCAAACAGACGAAGGTCATAGCCCGTCATCTTGCCACCCTCGATGGACTCAGTGTCACATGCACTGATTCCCGCCCCATCATAGGTGATGCCGTCCTCGACCGTCAGGTGATTCTTCTGCTCTAAGGCCTTCTGACCTCGTTGCTTCGCCCTTGAACTCACTGGATTTGATCCCCCGTAGCCTTGAGTCGGGGCAACCGACCCAGCAGGAGGAAGCGGACCAGGCTGAAAGTCATGCCGGCCCTGTGTGCCGATGCCTCCCTCTTGCGATGCTCCAAACTTCATAGAAGAAAGCATATCCACACCACTCATAGTGTCCCTCCAGATCCGCATTCCTGTTCTCTATCCAGTCGTCCGTCACCAGGGTCCTCTTCCACACTTCTCGAGGATTACCCCGAGCAAATGCCACAGTGACCCAAGTTGCCGAGAGCCTCCCTATGGACATAGGTGTGCCCCGATGAAGTGGATGGAAGGATCTGACTCTCGACTTCTTCAAAACTCTGACCCACCACTCTCCGCCGCCCAAACCAACGCCAAGGCACTCCCACCTGTCGTTTCCCGTCGGTGGGGTCTGGAATCTGTTGAGCTCCCACGGCAGGTCAGTGCCCAAGCCTACATGGGTGATCGGCGATTTCAAAGCGCTCAGCTTGGGAGGCGGCTGCATCCATGGCTTCAATCCGAGTTCGCGTCCGCGGGAGCCCCCAGGGCTACAGTCGCGTCCCGGTTGGGAGACAGGTTCATCTTCCCTTGTCTCATCTTGGTCTTTTCTTGTTTCGACATCGCTCTCTCCGGATGCCTTGGTCCGAGTCGATGCCGCGTCCCCAAATGTTGACAGGTCTTCTCCCCCCTTCCTACCCATCAGTACAGCTACACTTGACACTACTGCTGCTAAGGTGAGACACTTCGCTACTTTGGCTTGCTGTTGACGTGGCTGCCAACTTGCTATGCCTATCAGCCCACTCAGAAGTCCGATGAGCTTCTTCACGCCGAGACCATTCCGCTCCTGCTTCAACACCTCTTCTCCCACCGTCAGCCCAGTGAACTCACGAAAGCGGGTCCAAGCAGAAGGGCTGACAATCGGCTTCGTGAGAAGGTCCACCGACAGTGATGCTCCTGGTTCGTGTTGAGCTTGCCAACAGCCAGTGCGAATCCTTTCTCGCAGTACATAGCTCCTCAACCTCAGGTGTCTTGTTCTCCACGGTCCAGCCGGCGATTGTAGAATCCGAATGCCAGACTGCGAGTCACCATGAAGAACACAGTCGATGTGGTCATTTGCATCCCCACTCTCCAGCACTGCCACGTCGCACAGCCATCAGCTCCGATTCCGAACTCGAAAGGGTCCCGAAAGGCTGTTGCTTGCTTTCCCACTGGATCAAAGCTCCAGAATACACCGCCATCAATCCCTGGTGTCCACGTGAACCGGGAGGACCAAATGATGCATCCGAGTACATGTGAATGCCCCGGTTTTCTCCTGCTCCAGGTTCTCCTTGGGGGTGATGAGAATACAGAAGACCATGCTCCGGGGTGCCACTTAAGAAGCCCAGGACTTGCGCTCCATACTTCTGAACCCTCACCGGGCAGCGAGCCACATGTCTTCCAAGCCACGACACTGCATAGGCTATATCCACCCTCGTCCGAACCGCCAGCCAAAGCAGCTCTCCCACCAAGGTCTGCGCACGTCGCACTTCCTGGATATCAGGATCAGGCTCATCAGAGTCGTCAAGGCTACCAGGAAGTGGACTTGCCGCATGCTTCAAGTCTGAATACCGGGCCAAGAGATCCTTGAGGTAGGCATTCTGGTGAAGTCGAATTCCTTGAGGTTCTTGAGAGATTTCAAAGCCACAAAATCTCAAACCATGATCTCGGCTCAGCCACTCAGGAGAGGAACATTTCCACTGTTCTTGAAATCGTCGAACTGTGGCTTGAGTGACGCTGGCTTCTCCTGTGATCAGGATATCATCGACGTATACGGCCACAAAGGCATAGACCTTGTCCGGCATGTTGGCTTCCTCCGGCGCATCCAGAACCACTTTCCATAGGTTTGGCTCTTGAGTTCTTGCCAGGCGCATCGAGCCATTTCCTCATCCCGAAAGATCGCCCAGTTGTTTGGGGCTTCTTGGAGGCCGTAAAGGGAGTTTTTTACCTCCCATATTTCCCCTTGCTTGCACACTCCAGCTTCTATCAAGACCTTTGGGGGCAATCTTTGAGAAGCGTCTCGACGTGGAGCAAGCAAAAAGGCTGTCTTCACGTCCAGGCTCGCAGTGGTCCATTTCTCCAATGCACTCTTCCTGAGGAGTGCTCGGAGCATAGTAGCATCTGCTCCACCTGCATATAGCTCAAAAGGTGAACTTGAAGTCGATGCCTCCAGCGGACTGACAGCCTTGGTTTCCGCTTGAGATCGAGCCAAGTGATTTCCGCAGATGACCACCCATAGTCTGGGAATTACATCTTCCAACGGATGAGGATCCAGACTTTGTTTTCCTGTTCTGCGATGCCGAACTTCTTCTGCATCAATCGCCTCCAACTCCAAGATGGCCTGATCAGCTTCTGGGACTGGTTGAATTGCAGCTCTGACATGCTGAACTCTGTCCCCCCTTCTCACAACCCAGCCATTGGTCATCAGAGGGCTAGGGCCAACCAGCTGCATCGACGCAAATGGGTTTGCCACCTGTCCTGCTTTGTGCCATCGTTTTGATCGAACTGCCACCAGAGCACCAAATCGATGCATAGGTTGAACTGCCACTCCCAAGTGTCGAAGCTGTTGACGACATCGTTCTTCCGCTGCATGTCGGATAGCTCCCGGCCACAAAGCTGGTTCCACCTTGGACTGATGGAGGATGAGCCTAAGTCGACGTTTGACCTGTTGCACTTCAGCCTCAGCTCGACCATTGCTCTGGGGATCATCTCCTTGAGTGAAGGTGTGAATCATATGCCTGTGTCCACACCAGGTGGCTACTCTTCTTGACAGCAGCCCTTTTTCTCTATCGCTATGCAACCTGACCAAGTTGACACCCAGGCAGCGAAAGCGTGCATGTAGTCGAGACAATCCCGCCAGCAGCGAAGACACACTCCTGTCTTCCAGGATCTCAACCATCGTGATGTTCTGGAGTTTGTGAGGCTTCATCAGCTCTTGGACCGCCTGACGATCAGCTAGATCCACCGGCTCACCTTCCTCGGCCCCTGCCTCCTCCACAACTTCTTCTTCCTCCTGTGGTGCTTGGTCTTCAGCTTCTTCTTCCTCAAAGGCTCCCACAGGATCACCTCCCCCCCAAGTCGACCTCCTCCAAGTTCTCCACCTCAGGTGCACCTGGTAGTTGGTCAGGAACTGGAATGGGCACAGTGCCCAACAAGGCATACTTAGCCATCCTCCCCGTTGCTAGGTCCTTGCCATAGGTGAACGGACCCATGATGTCGATTGCCAGCGTGAAGGCTGCCGATGCCGTCTTTGATCTTCGATGAGGGTGTTGCATCCCCATCGCTTCAATGCAAGCACGGCAGTCGCGCCTGAACGGCACATGCTGCATCCTGACGTGTCTACGCCATTCATCCAAGTTGAACTTCGCCACCTGAACTGTTTCTTCATCATCTTTGAGCATCTCCTTGAGCGAATACTGGATCGCCCTTACTAGGCCCGTGGACCATTCCGACCAGCTCCTTGATGTTGCTATGCGTTGACTCAAGTCTCCACAAACTGGATTTGTTGTTCCACCTCCTTTGCAAAACTCCAGTTGCTCCATCATTGGCAAGTTGGTCAATAGTCCCGTGGGCTTCCTTCTACACACCATTTTCATGTTCTCATCTTCCTCAAGTAGTTGCTGTAGTTGAGGCCACTCAAAAAACGATGGCGACTCCTGACCCTCCGTGGTGTTCAAGTAGGTGGCCGGATCCTGTGGGCTTTCCAACAGAAACCCCGTCCTGACCTTCTTCTTCGGACTCTGCTCAGACATCTTCCAGAGAGCAACTTGCTTGAGCACCAAGGCCGAGTCATTGTCTGTGAGTTGTGCCTCCTGTTCTGTCCTCTGTTGAACCCCCCACCTCTCCGGTCCTCTACCCCGAACTCGGCGTGGGCCAGGTGGTCCCTTGTTGCGAAGCCTGGAAGTTGTCCGACAAGGTGGGCCGCCAATGATTGCTCTCAGCTGCCCCTGCTTGGCCAACGAACATAGGTATCCCCACACATGTGG